CAACAAAGAAAATGTCCTCCAATATATAAACCTTTCCTTAACTTTTACAATAACGGACTAATACAATATTTGTCCTTTTGAAACACAGCCTATTTAGAAAGAAAAAATAAACAAAGCAATCTTGCTTCTACATAATGCTGCCTCCTCACTGATTCTGTAGGTATCATTGCCCAGGATATATGATTTTAAAATACATTCTGAATCCTTTATAATTACCTTTCATACTCAATTCTTTTGCAAATTGTTTTCTCAAGCATTGCCTATTCACCACATTCACTATTTTTAGCGCTGGTGGCACAGTACCTAAGACATTTGACTGCTAACCAGAAGGCTGGTAGTTCAAACCCATCAGCCACTCCTTGGAAGGAAGATTGGGCAATCTATTTCTGTAGAGATACTGCCTCAGAAACCCAATGAGGGGTCGCTATGAGTCGAATTGACTCGATGGCATTGAGTTTGTTTTTTTTTTGGTTTATCCCTTTGGTTCCCAATGGGATTTAAGCAGATTACTTAAGCATCAGGGCCTCTCACATGGAAGAATCTTAAAATGTTTGTATGTTTGGTTACTTTTATAAAATTGGCCAAAGTGAAATATTTTAATATTCTTATTCTTCAGCTTTAGGCCCAACAAACTTTAATTTGCCACTTTGTTTAAGGAGAATTTCCCTTATATAAAGCAAGTTCAAAGTTCATCAGACTCTCTTATAGCCTACAGTGATATCTGTCTATCTGTCTCCTATAGGTGTATCTCCTATAGGTGCAACAAAATGGGGCATGGCTTCCTTGAAGTTGATTACAGTTAAGGATAAGAGTTAAATGCTACATTAAGACTTTTATCTTTGATTGACCAAAGAATTCTGTGTTTTCCATACCCAAGTCCCAACTCTGGTCCTCAGTATTAGAACTAGATTTTAAGCCATTTGGCCAAGGTGATCAAGCATTGGAAGATTAATTCATGCTAACTAACCAAACTCACAGAAGATTATTTATAAACCAGAATGTTTATTTCTTAGTATTCAGGAAGGAATTAATACCTTAATTATGAATATCTTAATACTGACTATGGATATGTTGTTGTTAGTCGCTATGCAGTCAATTCCAATTCAAGGTGATTCCATATGTGAAGAGTAGAAGTGCTCCATAGAGGTTTCAAGGCTGTGACCTTTCAGAAGCAAATCACTAGGCGTCACTCCTGAGGCAACTCTGGGGAGTTCTGAACCACCAACCTTTCGGGCGGTGGTTCTGCACTTAGACATTTGCCTAACCCAGGGAATGGACTATAGATAAAACACCTGCTATCCAGGACACCCTCTTCCCTGGATATTTTAGAAACCAAATATGGTTATAAAACCTTTAGTAATCATGATTTCAACTATAAATAACTGAGTGACTTTAAGACCTCATTGCAGGGGTACGACTTAACGCCAAATTCCCTGGAAATGGGTAAAGCCCCGTTTCTTGTGTCAACTTCATCTTGTGCATAATTCTGGCTTCCCTCTCTTGCCCTATCATGGACAGAGTTGGTCTGTGCCTTAAACATGTTTACATGTAAGGCATGCTTTAAACATCACAGCCCCTAATCTCACTTCATTTTACTATCATACTCTTGTATCACACATCTATTCTAGTTCCCCAACTGTCCAACACTTTTCCTCATTTCACCCATGCTCTCTCTTCCTCTTATCTACACTCGAAGTACTTCCCTCACTGTCAGTGCCCAGGCTGTCTTTCCCAAGTCGTCATCTATCTTTTCACATAGCCTCGCCTGCAAATCATCTCCTAGACTGTCACCCTTCACCTCCTACCTTGGCCCTACTGGTTCCATCACCCAGACCAGAAAAGAAGCATCGAGTCGGGGTCAGGCCCGAACGTTCTCAGGTGAGGGCGCCCGAAGCCCGCTCTCCATCCTAGCAGGGAAGCTATGAGGAACACTCCAGGGAAGCTATGAGGAACACTCCACGCTCTTTGCATCATCTTCTCCTCCCCTTTTCTCCCAGTCCCACATAACCACCACCACTTTTACCCTCGCGTGAGCACCACAATCCCCTGTTGCCATCAGTTGGGAAGAGAAGTATTCCGGCGAAGTCTTTACTTGAGAATGGAACTGTGTGGGGATGCAGCCTTCAAGGCGTCAGCGAACAGAACCTGCAGGAGACCCAGGTGAAGGGGGAAGGGATGATTGGCGCTAAACCAATCATAGGTCTTGACGACTGGGTCCAGCCAATCAGAACAAAGTAGGACTGACGGCCCAGGGGCGGGCCCTGGCGGGTAAAAACCCTCACTTTTGCCCCGCCTCGGCCAACGCCTTCGCCTGGGGCTGGTTGGAGCGCTTATAGTTCATGGACTCACAGCACTGGGCACCTTTGGAGCTGGAAGGCGGTGCCCTCGGAACCCAGCTAATTTCTCTACATACCTTGGCCTTCACAGTTGTTGTGCCTGCGGTGGAAGCATTCTGACCTGGGCCGCATCTCTCTGGAGACTTTGTGCCTCTGGTTGCGGCCAGAGTGAGGTCGTTGCCTTGACAACGACAGCATGCGGTCCGCAGTCCTGGGAAGTGTGAGCCTGCGGCTGGAGGCCCTTCTGCCTCCCTGCCTGATTCACCTAGGACCGGTGACTGTGTCCTCAGAAGTAATCACAGCAGCACTGGAGTAACTAGTTTGCTAATCAGCATCTTTTAGACTGGTGAGCGAGATGCACTTCACCGCAAATTTGTTTCCAAGTTGAAAACCTTTGGGTCTTTCCATGCGAAGGTTATTTATTTATTAAAGAAACAGTAAGTATGATACTTAAAGAAAAAGTAAAACCTTTTATCATTTCGTTGTTTTATCTATTTAAATTTTAATCTGTCTTTAACAAAAGAAAAAATTAGCATCCAAGTGTTGTGTATTACCCAAGTATATCTTGCTGATACTAGAACCATATGTTTACATGGTACGTTTCCAAATATAACACATTTCCAATTGCTCAGGCATCATTTTAGGTTTATATTACTCCTTTAGATTCGGGAGTAGAAGGGATGGAGAGTTACAGTTTATGAATGACTGTTTCAGGGAACAAGAGTCTTTCTTTGCCTTGATACTTTTAAGGTATTTGTGGACCGTGTCCCTTGAAAAAGCAGGTGAATTTAATGTGGTGTGTCCAAATGTGCAGTTGGTTGGGAGAATAAACTTGGAGGAGTCAATTGGCTTAATGTTACTTTGTGATATGTTTCAGAATATCTTGAATATGTTTAAAGTGATTTTTATTTTTGTTAACTTTGCATTTTCAGATATTGAGGACTCCCTTGCAAAATGCTTTCAAACGATCCAGGTTATAGATCCTGTTATTTTTGTCCTTGGTATGATAAACCTAACTCATTGGTGTGGAGTTGATTTTGACCCATGGAGACACTGTAGGACAGAGTAGAACTACTCCATAATGTTCCCAAGGCTGTCAATCTTTACAGAAGCAGACCTGTATCTTTCTCCTGTTGAGTCTGGTGGGTTGGAACGGCTGCCCTTTTGGTTTGTAGCCGAGCACTTTAACCACTGCACCACCAGGGTACCTTACCTAGTGCCCAGTCCTTATCAAAACATACTGTCTTAATGGAAGAAAAAAGGAAAAAAAAAAAAAAAAAGAAATGAAGGAAAGGAGGATCAGAATTACATTGAGATTTTTTTCCCCCAAATATAAACATTTTTTAAAAATTGCAGTTAAGGCATTTGGCTGCTAATCAAAACGTCAGCGGTTCCAACTCACCAGCTGCTGTATGGATGAAAGATGAGGCAGTCTGCTTCCGTAAAGATTTACAGCCTTGGAAACCCAATGGGGGTTACTATGACTTGGAATCCACTTGATGGCAGGTTTTTTTTTGCTGTTGTTTGTTTTTTTAATAGTGTCAGAAGTTAAAATGTCAAATATATGGAAAGCTAGTGTTTGAGGACACTGTTCTAAAAACAAGCCAGGTGAGAACTATAAAACCTAGTAATAAAATATGAAATAATTTGAGTTGGTGTTCATCAGGGTTGTTCTTATTTTTTCCTTCTGGAAGATAAATCTTCTGGTTTTCCATGTATAATTACATTAATAAATAAAAAATATAATAAAATTCTAAACTATTAAATGCAAAGTGTTGAAAAGGTAGATGTACATTTGATTATCAATTTTCTAGAACAAAGAAAATATTTGTTTTCTGTTTGCCATCAATGTCCCAATAGAAAAGCAGGTAAAACATCACCACAATTCACAATCTGTGTAACCTATCTTTAGATTGCCGTAAGTATGTTGTTAATAGGCAAGAATATTCTTGCTTTCCCAGCTTTGTGAATGACTGTTTTTATAATTCTACTATGAATCATCATTTGACTATATAGTACCAAAAAACTTTGGCATTTTTCCTTAAAATCTTTAGAACTATATTGCGATTTATGACAATATTTTTAATTCTTCTCTTCTGAGATTCAATTTCAGAATCAGATTTGAAGGATACAATTAACTTTGAAGTTGTAGTTTAATAGTTTTGTATAGTATGGCAATCAAATCTTAGGAATTAAAATCTGCATTTGGACTGAAATAATTTTCTTATCAAAACATACTGGAATAATTGCTTGGCCTTCGTCAATCAATAGTAAAGCAAGAAAGATTCTATTGGGATTGCCTTTGTCCTAATATGGAAAAATTTTGAATACAAAATTCAAATGTTTATACTTACAATGAGTAATCATTAGCAGGATTTTTGGAATACTGTGTTTAATAGTAAGGAGCTCTGGTGGTGTAGTGCCTAAGGCATTTGACTGCTAACCAGAAGGTTGGCAGTTCAAACCTATCAGCCACTCCATGTAAGGAAGACTGAGAAATCTAGTTCCATAAAGATTAACTACTTCAGAAACCCAAAGGGAGTTGCTATGAATCGGAATCGAATCAGTGGCAGCGAGTTTGGTTTGGTTTGGTATTTAATAGCACTAATATTTAATTTCTTTTAAAAATTCTGCTTATCTACTCAATGCCATTGCTGTTTTTTTGTAAATTTAGTATGTTGTTGTTGTTGTTATGTGCCGGCGAGTCAGCCCCGACTCATAGCGACCCCTCCTTGGGTTGATGAGGCAGTATCA